AAAAATAAAAAAGAAACCGTACAGATGACCTGACTGAAAATTGTTGGATGCAGGATGTTGTTCCTCAAGGACCAGGGTTGGGAACCACTGGTCTACTAAGGGTCTGCAACCTGTGGCTCTGAGGTCATACGGATCTTTGACTATTTTTAAATTTGACAAATCAGACAGAAATTGATATGTATATTACAAAAGTTTAGTTTTAGCAGTTCTGTTTACTTACATGCAATACAGCATGAATAACACTTGTAGTTTGCACTGTTGATGGCAAGACATTGAATAAAGATGTTACACAATTAGTTTTACTAATACTATTATTGCGCGTGTGCTGAAAACAACGCTCAGCTACTGCCACAACAAATTCAAGTTAAATATCTTTAACATTTGCAGTATTACTGTATCCATCTTATTCCTAGCCCCCATGCTGCCTTGCGTGAATTATGGACGCAACTTCTGTCGCGGACCAGAACTGGCGTTTGTTTATGTGTGAACAGCATGAGCTAATGTAGTTTCCAAGCATTGTGGGTTTAATTTAAACATGTAGGAACACCACCTGTCAGAGCTCAAACAAGACATCAGTCATACTGCTAACTACTGTGGACGAGGGATGGGAGGACGACCTGAAGAAGTGGCCGCAGATTACATCTAGTATGTTTAGCTACTTCATTGACTCAGTTCTTCTAACGGTGAAGCAATGAACCTGAAAAGCTCTGAGGCGGATTAGTATTTACACAGTACACGTTTTGCCAAAGCCTTAAAGTCCTCCATTACTGAGCTTGGGTTAAATGCAGAGGAAATCGTAATACTGAAGACGAACAAATACTATGATGCTGTGCCCTACATACACTTGAATACAGCGTCTCTTCTCCGGTGGTTTATTGTAGCCCATCCACAAATTAGGATTCAGGTTTTCCTCCGTCGGCCATTTGTCAACAAAGTGAAATGAGCACACTTACAGCATTTTGGGTGGTCTCTTCAAGTTCACATTTTTCAACCACGTTCTTCTTAATTCCTCATCTGTAGGTGATGGAAACTATCGCTTTGCACAGGAACGCTCTTCTTTTGTTTTGGGTCCATGTTCAAAACACTATTGCTGTAGTCACTGATGATTGTTCTGAAGTCGTGAACACAACAGGTACCTGAACTTAGCACGGCTATTTTAGTAAACTTTATGGTTGTTAAATAAATGTGAACAAAACAAAAACAGTGTTTGATCTGCTAAACTAATGAAAATTACTTTGAAATAAACTGCAGCCCATGCTCCACTACCATGGTTAGCCAGTGCTTACTGCTACTTCCTGTCAAACAGGAAGTTGTACCTAATCATTTATACAGTAGAGCCCCCAGGAACAAGGTGAATAGATATTTTTGTTTTCTCCATGGTCAACCAGCTGTGGTTCCCATCTGGAATTAGGTTGAGTCCAAAGGTTACTTAGTTCTAGATGTTGATCTTATGGTTACTTCCTAAAAAATTAATTAAAATTAGATATTTTGCTAATAACACCACAGACTCATGTTCAGGCTGCTGTTGTTATACCGTATTATTTTACATTATTAGCGTTTAGCCAAATATCTTAGATCCTTCTTTACTGGTTCTTTTTATACTTTATATTTTTCTATTTTGGGTGTAACTGGGACCCTGTGTGCACAGTTCCGTTCCACCTCATGTACCACATATGATGGAAATAATAAAACAGACTTGAACTTGAATTTGATCTAATAATCAAACACAAAAACTTTATCACTCCACCTTAGCCTTTGGCAGCTGCTGATAACCATGAAAATTTAAAACTAAGAAAAAGGTCAGGTTTAAATAATAAAGATTATTAAAAGTTGTAAAAAAAAATTAAAGTTTCTGCCTTTTTTGGGGGGAAGAAATTCAGTAACAGTTGAGTATCCAGGAAACTGGCCTTATTTTTATGTTCACTCTAACTACAGTATGCTGTCATATTTCAAAACTGAATACTTTTTTAATTGCAATAAATATAGAAAAGTCTCCCACAGCCTTGTGCAGTTCAGGGTTTACCTTTGAAACAAGTATAAACAAGAAAATTATTTTTTTTGTTTTCGCGAGTTTGGTCTTTTTTCAAGATTTACTGATAAGATAAGATAAAATAAGATATTACTTTATTGATCCCACAGGAAATTGTTGTGCCAGAGTTTCAATATGAAGGAACTTACACAATGAATCACAAGATATTGTATATTTGTATATAGATTTTTTACTGTTTGCCAATTTTGTGGTGTAATTGTTTATATGTTGTGTTTTAATTTTCCCGCCACCTTGCTGCAAGGAAAATTTCCCTAATGGGACAATAAAAGTGATGATGATGATATAAAAAAATAACAGATAACACATTATCTCAGTTTATTAAAGTTCTTTAGTTTCATAAAGAAATAATATTTTTTTATTTATAGTATTCATTTAAGCATTAATATTGAGTAGTCTTATTTTGAAAGGAGGTTTTGTGGCTCTAGGAAAGGTTTACTTGAGGAAAGAAAAGGCTCTTTTGGTTGTAATGGTTGCAGAGCCCTGGTCTAAACCGGGTCCAGGTTCTGGTTCCTTTGCAGTCATGTGTGCAGGCTTAAACCTAACTTTGCTCAGACTCCTCCCCAGAACAGAGTCTCTTTACGAGCTCAATGTTAGCAGGTGTTGCTTTTCATAAGCAGAGAGGAGGCAGGTGCCCGTTTGATAACTTACAGAACCTGAAACTAGTTGCAAAGGTCAACAGTGAGCTTGTACTTTGTTGTTGTCCAGATATTTGCTTTTGCTTTTATTTTTCACTCTCAACAGCTGATTACCGTATTTTATGACGTATAAGTAGCTCCGACATATAAGTCAAATAAAGCATCATAAAGAGGGAAAAAAACTTATATAAGTTGCTTCGGCATATAAGTCGCATTTATTATGTGTCACCGCTGACCCATCACGTTTATTATGCAGTTATTTAATGGTCAAAACAGCTTCATTTCGCCTGGGTGGCGCAGCGCCATCCATCCATCATGGCTAGAGCCGCTAGCTCTCCAACGTTCCTCCGCCTGCACCAGCTGAGTGGAGTGAGCGTGCACGGGAGGACTCGCTGTTGCAGTTCTTCGAAGTTTAAAGCGTCAGTCAAAAATTGTGTTATATGGGAAAAAAAAAAACTTATATAAGTCGCTTTGGCGTATAAGTCAAAGGAAACCTATGCAAAAAACTGTGACTTATACGCCGGAAAATATGGTAACTCATGGAGTCAACCCAGTTTAACGCAGTGGGAAATATGCGTTCCTTTAAAGAATGTTAAGCCGTTAATTTTTTTTGCATTCTTTGACCCTCTGAAGCATTTGAATTATCAGCTGGTAAAGTGATATGCCTTACACTTTAGATGGTAAGTTGATGTAATAAAGCCGCAGAGAGTTGTTATCCTCCCCTTTGAAGCATTTTTTTTTTACCTAATCTTCCAGCTCTTTTTTTTTTTTTTTAACACATGCAACTCTCAGGCAACATTTTTTCTGACACATCTGAGCAAGCCTTGGCAGTTTGGGCTCTAAAGGAAGATGACGCAAGTTTGCTTAAAACTGTGTACATGTATGTTGCACATGGCCAGGAACTAAAACCAGCCATCCGTTTCATGCCTTCCTTCCACATGCCTGTGTTTTCTCACCTCCCATTTTACCCTCCTCTCTGTCCCAGGGCTCCATCACACCTCTACGCCCATCATTTTCTGCCTGTCACCTCCCACCACCGCACATCCTGTCTAGGAACAGGCTGCATCACTTCTTCAGTCTGCCCGTGACTTTTCTCTAATAAAAAAATAAAAAAATTCCCGAGGCTGTACTGTGGGCTTTGTTGCATACAGTCATGCCTTCTTCCACTTGGCAACACATTTCGCACATTTCAGAAATAGATGCCTATATGTTCTTCTTGGCTGAGTGTGTAGCAAGTCTGCGGCGGGCATGTCGACAGGTTGATGCAGCTGGAATGCTGGGAAGCTTTATATTGTGTTAGCTTTAAGTCACCAGTGAAATTCCCACCATTCCTAGCTGGTATAAATTCACAAAACTGAAGTTTTTTTCCTCAGCAGCTGCCGTCAATGCGTACTCCATGCATCCAGTGGCTGATGTGCAGACTTTTTTCTGGGTCTGCTGCGCCTCCTCATGCATTTTAATATTTTCCTGTCCCGCTCGTCAACAAAACAGGACAGCCCAGACTCCAAAGGACAGAGGAGCATTTTGCAATAGAGACATCAGTGTGTTTGGGGTCACGCTGAGGGAGGGGAGGAGAAGGATCCAGACGGATGAGGGCAGGAGTCAATAGCGAGGCGAAGGCAACAAGAGCATTGATTGAAAGAAAGGAGGAAAGAGGAAGAGGGAGAGGAAGAGGGATGAGCGGGGTTAATCAGGGCAGCAGCTGTCAATACTTATAGTGATGCTGGAACTTTGCGTCTGGATCTTTGCAGGCACATTCATGCATTGCTTCACTGTTTCTGTAGTTACCTCATGATTTTCATTTTTTATTTTTTAGGTTGTTCCTGAAGGGTTAAGCGCTAAAATGATAGATTTTGCCCAGATTTTCTGTATTTGTGTGTTTGCATAATCTTTACTCTTCACTCATCCAACCCTAATTCTAAGTTCACGTTAATATCAACATTCTTTTTAACTTTTCCACGTATTTTAAAGGTGATTTGACAAAACACCATCAGATCAGAAGGCATATGGCCTTAAGCTGCGCTCCACTTGGAAAATCAGGATTTAAAATAGAGGTAGATGCACAAGAGGAAGCGTTATGTTATTCAAATGGGATGCAGCTCAGCGATGAGTGATGGAAGAGGAGCAAGAAGAAAGATTATAGAGGGAGTTGTTGTGTCAATCCTATTGATGGGAAAGTGTCACAAATGACATTGTAGCATGCAAAGTGATTGTCATATGGTGTTTTATTGCTGAGGGAAATGGAGTTAAATGTGAATATTACCTCTTTCTCCTATGGTTTCTGTTTGCTGATGTTGTTTTTCTTACGTCCTCAGAACGGCCCATGCCAGGACAAAAAGCGAGGCTGCAGAACAGGCCGGCATCTCTGCCATACATGAGTCTGAAATGGCCAGGGCAATAGCCAGGGAGCTCTCTCCTAACTTCTACCAACCAGGTAACCCTTTAAAACCGCAGCACGTTTGTATATTATACTGTACATAATGGTTCCCCGTACAGGTCCACTTTCAGGTTGAACACTTGTAACCACCCAGACATTCCCATCAGATACACACCTCTATGAGTTTACCATTCAGGCAACAAGCAGTTGAAAACGTGGATATTTGCTGTTATCTACACTTCTGAAGTGGGACCAGAGCCCATAAGTTGAAGCCACAAAGATGTGCCCCCTGATGAATGGCTCCAGTACAATTATTAAATTCCACACCTCCATGTGAACAGATAGGACCTTTTCCTGATTTAAAAAGTAAAACTACACATAAGGAATGTTTTTCAGATATTGACTTTGTGTAGGTTTTACCTTGCTACTGTGTGCTCAAAGATACATTTATTTAATATGTTTAGTTGCAGTTCGGTATTTGAGGCTTAAAGAAAGAATTATGTTAACGCCGAGACTGACAATGTGACAGCCTGTCAGTGACGTGGGACTTTTTATTTTCAGAATCAGAATCAACTTTATTGTCATTGTACAGTTAAGCACAGTGAAATTTCGTTCTGTACAGCCGTCTGAAGGATGGACAGAAGTGTACCGGGGCTGCGGCTCCCTATGAGCGCTGCCCTTATCGCTTAGACAAGAAAAGGGTAAGAAAACACGAGAAGACAAGGTATTAAAAAAGATCTCTCACTTGACACAGGGCATGGTGTAGGGTAGCAAAAAATCTACCTCAGCAAGCAACAAAGAAAGACATAAAGAAATTTTTTTTTGGGGGTGGGGAGACAAGATGGTGAGAGTGTCCATGAACACTTCCAGATAGTTTCCATAGTCCTGATAAAGATGTTACAGTGTCTCTCAGCTGGTCTGATAAGGGTCCACAGATGTTCTCGGGGGGGTTGTAGGTGGAGATCTGAGTGTCTTGTTTCCATAACGCCCAAGGAGAAACTGAGATAGTCAGCCTTCCAGAGCCAGATTCAGATTTCAACATTGTTTTGGGTCAGGCCGAGCTCTTTAATTTCCAAGTCTGCCTTTTAAAATCTTGTTAATACAGCTCATGGCGACTCCAAACAGCCGAATTGTGATTACTTACGCCGAAGTCGGGCTTACAACTTCTCCAAGATCTCCTCCTTCCAACCGTCTGTGAACGCTGCCACAAAGTTCCACAGTCCTGCCTGCTCAGCTCTGATACAGGTCCACAGATAGTTCGCACACATTCTGAGTGTTGCCAAGTCCAGCACACACATTCCAAACAGCTTAAACAGCTACTGAAGTTTCCAAATTTGTCGACAATCCAGATTTCCACCAACTCCAAAAAGCTGAATCCAGTTATCGTATATCCAGTTATGTTTCTGTGAAGAGGGCTCTCCTTCACCCTGTCTTCTTGTGAGAAAATTTGATCAATTGCATTGAGAGAACAGCTGAACAAATCCATAGTTTACAATTCGGAAGGTATGCAAAAAAGGGACTCTGAAAAAGTTCACAAAAACAAAGAGCATAAGCAGGAGGGGAGACAGTAGAGGGAAAGGGTGCGTCCGTCTTCGTCGAGAGCAAGAGGTCATTTCATATCGATTATACAACCTTAAGGCCATGGTTTGAGAACTCTGGCTCCAAAAATACAACATGGCAGCGCCCAAAAACCAAACATTTGGGCTTCAGCTTTGAACAACATCTACTGCTCAGCCCCTTTTCTGAAAAGCATCAGTTTCTGTCATCGTAGTTTATCAGGAAAGGGATGAATTGGAAACTAGTCATTGGTGAGCTCAGCCTTACTGTCAAAATGCATGGATCCCCCTCCACATTTCTCCAGTGAACCTGTGAAAATGAAAGAATAAGAGGCTCAGTCCAGACAGGAATGGCATTTTGTAAAAACACTGAAGTTTTTATCATTTCAGTCTTGCATCCACATGAAAACCCCCAAGTGATATTTTAATGTAAACAGCTTTCAGAGTGAGGTTAAGACTAAACGGGAATCTCTTTAATAAACTTTTGCATTCAAATCCATTACATATTACAATATTATTCTGGCAAAATATTGTGATGTTCTTGCAGGAAGGGATTAGATGTTTTTAAATTCATGCAAACTGTTGGGCCATTTTGAGAGTTCGGTTTTGGCCTAACTAGTTAGCCACTAGCTGATCAGCTTTGTCCAAACTAATCTTTATTGCTTCAAAATGTTGTAGATTATAGCTCTATCTACAACAGGATAATTGTCCTGACCTACTGAACAACGCGTCAGCAGATCTGAAGTATGGCTTCAAACTGCAGGTGCACTGACAGGTTAAGGAGGTCAGTGCGTTCAGTGAAATGTAATACTTTTTCTTGTGGCTAATTTTGTCTGAGCATTTGCCTAGCAGTGCAAGCACCAATGGTTTTAGACAAGCATTTCCGTCAGATCAGACATGGTTAATCCAGCATGGAAGATTCAGCTTTTTACTTGGATTGTTTTATTTTATACACGATTGATTCTTGCCTCAAATACATTCAACAAATCCAGGAGTGAAAGGATCCCTATTAAAGGTGCAACATGCAGAGCAACCAGTTTGTCTGTGAACACCATGCTTTGGGTGATTGGGTAACAAGTGGGAGGTTGGGTGCTGTGTTTGAATAATGTTGTTTACACACCAGAGTTGTTCACATTGACTTTGAGTTAATAATGAGCTTGTTTTTTTTTTTTGTGCAAACACCGAGAGATTAGTGTTCCAGTTGTGTGATTGAACACTGGAGATACTGGGGATGATTTTTAACACAACGGAGGACTGTGTTGTTTATACAAAGTCCACCGTATTCTGAATAGAAGCCTTTTCTTTGCTGTCAAAAGCCTGTTGTAACGGAAATACTCGCCAAAAATAAGCATGACAGCAGTTTTCTCGTCTTTCCTCTGGCTGAAGGTTTAACCAGCATAGGTCAGTTTACAACGGTTGTCAGCACAACTCTATTTAGTCCATTTTAAAGATTTTTTTTTTTCATTCACAAGATCCCATGGTAATATGTAGCGTTTTACCAGGTAATCAGTGTTTTATTTATAGTTGCTTAAAGGATTTATATAAAGCAAACTCATTCAGAAAGGATCTATGAATGTCAGTATTGAAAAATGATCAAGCAGCAATCATGCTAATCCAAGAAGCTATGTCATGATTGTTTTATTTTTAATTGCAGTGTAAGACCAGTGCTATCCTAGCCTCTTCCATTTGCTACAATATATTTAGGCCTGTGTGCAAGCAACTTTGGGCCCGTGCCAAAAGCAACTAGAAAATAGTAGGTGACAAACAGATTGACAATGGGATCCAGTCAAGCATGTCGCTCACTAAGCCACAGAAATGGCCAGCCAGGACCAGAGACGTCCGCGGCTTGTTTGTGTTGTGGAAAACCGTAGTCATGCCTGGCAGGCCGAGTGTTCTCCAGGTTCACACGTGTGCACCGAGAGTGTCCTTGCCTTATAAGTCGGATCATGAATGAGAGTGTGGCTGATGTCATAATAATGTGCGGCACAGGGAGAAATCTGAGCCGTAACATTTTAAATGCTCGATTACGTAAACCCACTCGTTAAGTCCAAAAAGGCATCTGCAAATAACCAAACTTATTTGACAAATGTTAATTTATTTTCAATTTGTCAAAGACTTTTTTTTTCTCCTCGCTGTTAAATGGGACAATTCCCATAATGTTTTGCCACGTTTATGTGTGTCTGTCTGTTAGCAGAGTAATATAATATAATTGCTATAATAACTGCAACTAAATGTTTCTGGTAACTGTTGATCAGTCCTGCACACCGGCTTGGAGGAGTTTTAGCCCATTCCTCTGTACAGAACAGCTTCAACTCTGGGATGTTGGTGGTTTCCTCACATTAACTGCTCGCTACATGTCTTTCCACAACATCTGGATTGGATTAAGGTCAGAACTTTGACTTGGCCATTCCAAAACATGAACTTTATTCTTTTTGAGCCATTCTTTGGTAGAACCACTTGTGTGCTGAGGGTCATTGTTTTGCTGCATGACCCACCTCCTCTTGAGATTCAGTTCATGGACAGATGTTCTGACATTTTCCTTTAGAATTCTCTGATATAATTCAGAATTCATTGTTCCATTAGTGATGGCAAGCTGTCCTGGTCCAGATGCAGCAAAACAGGCCCAAATCATGATACTGCCTCCACCATGTTTCACAGATGGGATAACGTTCTTATGCAGGAATACAGATTTCCCTGGCTTTCTCCTTGCAACCCTGTCATGCACGCCATTGTTGTTCAGTGTTCTCCTGATGGTGGACCCCTGAACATCATTAGCCAACGTGAGAGAGGCCTTCAGTTGCTTAGAAGTTACCCTGGGGTCCTTTGAGACCGCCTTGCTCTTGAAGTGATCTTTGTTGGTCCACCACTCCTGGGGAGGGTAACAATGGTCTTGAATTTCCTCCATTTGTACACAATCTATCTGACTGTGGGTTGATGGAGTCCAAACTCTTTACAGATGGTTTTGTAACCTTTTCCAGCCTGATGAGCATCAACAACTCTTTTTCTGAGCTCCTCAGAAATCTCCTTTTTTCCTGCCATGATCCACTTCCTCAAACATGTTGTGAAGAGCAGACTTTGATAGATCCCTGTACTTTAAATCAAACAGGGTGCCCCCTCACACCTGATCACCATCCCACTGATTGAAAACACCTGACTCTAATTTCATCTTCAAATTAATTGATAATCCCAGAGGTTCACATACTTTTACCACTCACAAATATGTAATATTGGATCATTTTCCTCATTAAATAAATAACCAAGTATAATATGTTTGTCTCATTTGTTTAACTGGGTTCTCTGTATCTATTTTTAGGACTTGTGTGAAAATCTGATGATGTTTTAGGTCATATTCATGCAGAACTATAGGAAATTCTAAAGGGTTCATAAACTTTCAAGCACCACTGTACCTCCACAGCTGATTAGCTTTTGTAATCAACTCAATTTAAGTTAGCTACCACAACTAACCAACATTATCCAACACCAAAATGGATATAAATCAGT